TCTATTTATAAAGCAGTAAGTATTAATGTAATGTAGAAGATTATATGGAGCTTCTTCTGTCGAACCAAAGACTTTGGCTTTTTCAAAAAAAATCCTCACATATAATAAGACTCCATTTTGCCCTGTTGCAAACAAGCTGCACGTGCATCGAAGTTTAGCGCATTTCATTTCGACAGTGCGGCCTAAAAGTTTTGCAAATAAGTAGATTCAGTAGATTGAGTAGATAGATTTATGAATTTTTTAGTGATAGTTGCCGTTCACTCTTTGGTCATCTGTTTGTTATGGACTTGAGATGCAACGTAATAGTTGGAACGCGACTGCTTATTTGAATGAAAATTCGTACAGCTTCTGTTGCTATCGATGTAGGAAGCGGTTTTCCTCGTGATGCTATCTGTTGTGTGATGTGAATGTATGGGAGTTGGCAGTAAAATATTCTGGAAAGATATTAATTTATTTGAAAATTAGTAAGTTATATTCTGATTCCTCTCTGGGTTTCGTTATATTTGTTGATTAGCAACATTGGTTGAGTCGCGCACGATTACTGCACTAACCTTAAACCAAACTGGTAGTCCTGATGTGATCCTGTGAACCAATTAAACTAAACATTAGGCGACGTTTTGATTTTTGACAGAATCAAGGAATTTTCACTAGAGTTTTTGGGACAGGTCATAGTCTAACAGAGTTCAGGGCTTCGATTTCAATGCTTCTCCAACTGCATCCCATCCCTCCCTTCTTTGGATAAAAAGGTTCACATCATTCGAGCGGCTGGAGGAATCGTGATTGCGGGCGTCAGTAGATGCAATCGTTGCTACGTGTGAGAAGGGAAAAAATGTTTATCAGTCGCTAAATTATGTCCCATTCATTCGTAATGCATGTAATTTGACTTCATCAGATTTCAGTTCAGTCGGAATAGTCCGTGGTAGTAACCCTGAATTCGTTTTGCATCAGATATGCTCGTGGAGTAGGTTTATTACTATTGTAAGTGCTTAATATGGGATAACCAGTTGCACTGATTTACCGTTTATGGTATCCACGACGCATTGACTTCGGTTCAGAATCGGAGAAGGCACTTTAGTGTAAGCCTGGCCTAGTTACAGGCTCAACCGCTTTGTAAGCTAGCTGGTATGCTTCGCAGATCAACACGTTGACGACATCGCGCGTTTCGGCTTCTTTGGCCGCGTGGGATGGAGCGATTTTGCGAGCGCCGCCGCTTCACATCAAATTTGTGGATTTTGAGGTACAATACACAATACTACATACACTCCAAATCTCGAAGTCTGATTGGGCGTGTCACCGGAAATGACGTGGCAGCCACCGCACTTGATAGAAATTGCGCGGATAAGCTGCTTCCAGCATGCTTTGCTGATATCTGG